AAGCGTAAACAAAAAATCATTTTTATACTACAAAGCTGGAGAGTTTGTTTGTTTGAGCGCGCTAATCTCAGGAACTACTAGTTGAAATTGGAAAAATATTTTTGTGTTGTTTAAAGAATTTAACTAGGAACGTTATATAGGCTATAAAACATCTCACTGTGACTAATAGGAGCGACGATAGAATTGAAAATGTGAAGGAAATTATACATCCTTAAGCATTTCCGTTGTGTGCTCTGTGAAAACGGTTCAAGATACCCAAAACATATGTAAGAAAGAATGATTTTTCTTTAAATGATCTAAAAAAAACTGCCCGCGACAGTGTATGTCTATCTTTTAAGATTAGCTTACAAAAACGACGTCGTGGTTATATATAAGATATAATTTATAAAGATGGATTGCAAAAACAAATGTTGGTGTCCAAAACAACTATTCTATGCGGACGTAGTCGCTGACACAGCTAGTTTATACTGAAGAGTAGATTTGCAAAAACAAATTTTGATACCGAAAATAACTATTCTACGCGGATGACGTCGCTCACACAGCCAGTTTAGTAAAATTCACGTTTGAAACCGATAAAAGTGTTTTATTTAATATTTCTTCGAATAAACATAGCGAAATACATATCGTCATACGTCTAAAGTGTTGTTGGTATTCTAGTCTACGGCTAGGCTCAGCGGAACGAATCTTTAATGCGTTTTATAATATATAATTTGATGGATGTCTCTCAAGCAAGACCTGTTCGAGAAATTGCGCCAATAAAAATACATTGCACGCTATAATCTTCTAAATATAAAACTTATTACAGGTTAAAAATAGGTATTAATAACAAATTGTTTTTGACAAAAAACAGAACTGCCTTCAGAATGAACTAAAAGTTAATTGTTAAGTGTTTTTATACTGTTTAAGTTATTTACTGACCGCCTCTATAGCCTAATGGTTAAACGTATTGCCTAGCATTGAGTTGAGCACGAGAGACGTGCGATCCTGGGTTCGTTCCCAGGGAAACCAAAAAATGTTTCGGACAGGCAGGGCACAGCAGTCTGATTAACTACTACGACTGCGTGTTTAATATTTTTATTTTTATATAAAATATTCAAGTATGTACTGTAGTTAACGCGAATCACGATCACGGTAATCTATTAGTAAATTAAATTTTAACTTCAACCCGACATTTCGGATGCTTTGCAGCAGCCGTGGTCACGAGGGAACGGGATGCTGCAATACATCCAAAACGTCGGTTTTACTTGATCTAAAATAGTTTTACAATTTATGTATGCCATTACGATATTATAGGACTACCTTTGTAATTGAATGATTTAACGTGTTGCATAGGTAAGCACGAAAGTTTCTGGGTTCAAAAAAGAATATCGATACTATGTTTGGGTTGGGTATTGGTCAGAATTTTGATAAAGTACTTGCAGGTAAATAAAACGGATTTAAACAAAACACTTTAATGGTTTCAAACGCGAAATGTAATAGTTAAACTTGTTTACAAATTATTTTTAACTCCGGCCCGAAGTTTCTTTGAAAAAGTTTAACTAATATATGTCGCGTTTTAAACCGTTAAAGTGTTTTATTTAAATGCGTACTACTCGCGTGAACTACAGACAGTATTTAATGAAGTCTTGTTAACCGCGTGCCCCACAGGTGAATACAAGTAGGAAAAAAGGATTTTCACATTATATTATAGTTTGAAAGGAGCCTAAATCAGTCGACAACGTACATATTGCGCAATACAATGAAAGCTAATCTCAGACGGTGTCGTGTTTAGGTCTCAGTGGTTCTAGACTGTGAGAAGGTGTCGTCTGTCACCCTCGCCACACACGTACCGTTATTAAGAAATTCCTTAAGCTCGCGCATTCACGTTCTATTTCACAACTAACCGTTTATTCATGAACCCGAGACTTCCAAAAGTAGAACATTTTCTAAATATCTGAGTTAATAAATAACAAAAAACTTAGGACACGGGGAGGATTTGAACCGACATCCACAGCGTTCCGTGTCGAGAGGTGCATGTTGAAAAAATTCGACCATGACGTGTAGGACACAGTAGTTCGATTGGAGCAACAGCACGGAAAGCTGTGGACTCCGGCGCAAGTCCTGCCCATGTTGCAAATTTTGCCATGTGAAAAATAGGGTTTTCAAATATTTGGAAATCTTTACGACCTCATAATAAATTAGCTACAATCCATACACGTCAGTAAAAAAAATCGCTCGTGAAGAACAGAATTTTGATAATTCTTGTTTGAGAACACGTATGCTTACTGGTAGGTAAAAAACCCGGGTTTTATTTTTTATGACAGAAGAGCTGCCAAGCATGGAATTCACTTGATGGAATGTTAAATATCCTAGCCCTGTCATATGGATAAGATGCGCTGTCGATCTTTTTTGGTTATCGAACCCCTTTTGACCGATGACGATTAAGAAACTAGGTATATATACCAATATATAAAGGTGAAGAGTTTGTTTGTTTGAACGCGATAATCTCAGGAACTACGTGCTCGTATTAAAAAAAATATTTTTGTTTTTGAAGGTTATAAGGCTATAAAACATCGCCCTTTGATTAATACGAGCAAAGATAAAGAGTGAAATGTAAAAAAACGGAGAAAATTATTCATCTTGGTAGGTTTTCGATGCGTACGCTGCGAAAACGGTTCAAAATACACGAAAAATATGTATAAGAGAATTATTTTTCTTTTGAATTATCAAATAAAATTCGCGACAGTCTATCTCTTAAGATTAACTCACAAGTAGACGTAGATAACAGTTTGCAAAAACAATTTTGGACGCCCAAAATAACTATTTCACGCGGACGAAGTAGCTGACTCAGCTAATAAAATAGAAGACTTGAGAAATCTAGACATTTACGTTTAGTGGTAAATCCTAGTCTGCTGATGCAAGTAACAAATCCGTTCTGAAAGTTATCACTGCCAATTAATCAAGCTCTTTAAACACTCTGTCGTTTCTCTGACATTTAGGTTGGCTAATATTCGTTAACGTAGGATTGTCCAAGACAAGAACGAAAAGTTCACTATATGGGAAAATCTATAAATGCTTCTTAAATAAAGATTTTTTCAACCTGTGTATTACGTCCGTTGTGTAAGTCATATGTGGTGCGTAGGGAAAACACAATGTCCGATAGTGTTTATAAGTTTATTAATTTTTAATACTATATATCCAAAATAAAGCTTCTATTGAAAATGAAAAAATATATACAATAAAATAGTTTCTAAAGAATACTGAGTAAAATTATTCAGTTTAAAAAGAAACAACGGTGGGTGACACGGTGAGTGTAAAATCCTAAACCCTTTTCTAATCGCTACCTCATTTTCACCTCGTTATAAAATGAGGTAGCAATTAGGGCAGAAATTTTAAACTAGCTTTAAGTTTTATCAAGAATATTTATATAAAACAGTAAGTAAAAAAGCATCCAAATGTCGGGTCGTATATTACTAAGTATGTTAATACTGTTTTAATGAAATTACTTTTATTAAAAGTGCTTTTTAGTCATACGAATTTTAACTCATTTGGCTTTTAATTGTGTGTGCAATAAAATATTTTTTTTTAACCATTAAGAACTTTTTACTTTTCTTGATTTCAACAGCCCTACGCCCTAGCACTTAGCAGTCAGAGTACATCAGTTTCGCAATTAAAACTAGAGAATCAGATACAACTCGTGGGAGTTTTCAACTTACCTTACACCAAACCACTATGAACCTTACACTATTGCATCATGGGCCAAAATCCCATGACATTCCTTATTTAACTGTAGCATCGAAAACTCTAAAACATGGGGTCCAATTAACAGTAAAGTTTACGATAAGGCTGTAAACAATGTACCAATTACCTGCTAAACGTACAAAATGGTACCCGGAGTGTTTTTCACAAACATATAGACAGACAAGAATGACCAACTGATTTTTTGTATACTATCACCTGTATTATACTATAAAGAAAGAATACTTTTTTTGTATGTTTTACATTATGTAAATACATAACATTTTTTTTTAACACTGGACTATGAATGGAAATCTGGATATCAAATGGGCGGTAGATATATCGAAATTCCGTTAGAGTCACAAACCACCCTGCACACGTGAAAAAATTGTGAAGTTTAATGGCGTTTCGGTCGCCGTCTGTGGATTTCAAAATATTCAAAGCCAAAATAGGCCGACAGCGCATCTTGTTTAGATATTATACGACTGGGGTATTTCACCTTCCATAGAACATGGGGTTTTTACAGGTGAGAGGGGAGATAGAGGAGCCTTGTCTGACCTCCTGTATTAAAAATAAGGTTAAAAGTATACGGGTGAAACGTAAAGCCATTGACCTGAACATTGAAATTATTATAACGCGATAAGACCTACTATAAAATGTTATACCGTGTCATAGATATGGCTATAATGAACAACTTAGCCATGGTCAAGGAAAAATAATACTTGCATAGCAAGAAATAGAGCAGAACTGTTAAGAGAAGTTACATGCATTCGATGTTAACGGCAGAGCTGATAAGGTGCAAATAGAAATGTTTTTAATTGAATGTGCAGGGAATATTGAATATTTAAACTATTCAACAAAAAAAAAAGAACTAGAGATGTACAGATAATATTTTTTTATTTATAATTTATACGGTTTTGAGTATTTATGATATGTATATAAAACGTCTTCTAAAATATGTAATAGTTTCTTAAAAAAACATATACCTATTTATTTTAGCTTTGCAAAATCGGTCATATTAATTGTGATATGAGCAATATGAGCAATATTTCAAGCCATAGAGAACTAGTGAAGTCCATTTATAGAATGAAGTTGTTGCCACCGATGACACAGGCATATGGGCCAAATTACCTCAATGACTATGACGATTTTTTCTGTTATAATTCTATTTTTTATAATATTATTATTGAACTCGACCTATGAAACGCTTTTCAGCGATCGTGCATGAGTCGGACCTCTACCTTCTATTGTCGTTGACTTCGCTTACGTCCCATCCTTCATTATTATGCTACTATCAAACCGGAGTCGGCGAACATGTTTTTCAGTTTTGTCCACAGTTCCAACGAGGTTTTTGTTTCCTTGATATGAACATATAGTCCTGAATCGATGGTTAAAATTAGCTTTGCCTTAGTCCTTTCGTCGTCTGCAATCTTGATATCTGCGCCGGGCACAGCTGGCTTGATGTAGTGAATCATGCCCTCTAGCACTAACAAGTTTTCTGCCGCGAAACTCCACTCATCGTAATTGTCCCTCCCTTTCAGTTTGGGAACACTTTGCAAATAGTTCATAGCCATTATTTACGAAAGTTCAGCGTTTTTCTTAAATCGTAACACAACAATTACTTAAGAAAATCAGGATATTAGCCCATAACCTATTAATACACGCACTTTCGGTTGTCAACTGATTTATTTTTATAGACACAAATCAAAAAAGTTTTTATATGAAAGAATCATAGACGGCGTTACTTACTACTTTTGTTACTCAATATAACAATTTAAACGTCAAATCTGTCATGTGAATTTTGTAACTTAACTTAAATTAAGTAAACTGCAATGTGGATGTTCAAAATCACTCTCTTTATTTGTGTAAACTGTTTGCATGTTTCCAAAAACAACGATAATTACAAAACCGGTACCAGATAATGCCAATTGTAAAACAATTAACAGCCAATATTTACAAATGAAAGTAAAGAGCAAAACTGCGCAAATAAAACTCTCACTGTACACGGATACATTTATCTGATAATGACCCGTATAATTGACACAAGTAGGTTGGTTTTAGTATAAATTTGAATTACATTGACTATCAACAGCGCCCACGCAAGCCCTCAATGGATTCTGTCGCAATGGCGATGAGTGAAATTGGATTGAAATATTTTGATACTAGCGATTGTTGTAGCATCAAAATATTCTTTGACCCTTTTGGACTTTAAGAGAACTTCGAATGTAAACAGATGGGAAATCAAGTTACTCTTTTAATGGGATATGGGGCTGACACTATTACACTGATTTATTTTACTAAATAGTGTATGTAATAACCAATTGACTGTAATTTTCCCTAGGATTATAATCCAAGACCTTTTACCTTTTTTTTATTTATTTTGTACACCAAAACTAATATACAATACAATTTAAAAAAATTTTTTAAACCGTTATAACGGTTTTTTTTATCTGCTACTCGAGTCATATAGACTCCAATATTAACTTATTTTAACTAAAATTAACTTAAAAATGACAATACAAAATACCAATTGTCACGAATTATACTATCGAGTCATGGCGATTTCAAAATTAATAGGCTTTACACATTTTTTAGTATTATAATATATCTTTTATGGCTTCTATGTTCCTAATGCTTTTAATCTTAGTGTTTTAACTAACCCTTGATAAACTAACAAAACAATGATCAATACATGTCTCTCGCTGTACAATATCGCGCCAGTTAGTCTAGGTGGTAATCGGCAATAAATACGTATGTCTTTAATATGTAGACCGGCTTGTTGATGTAATGCTTTAATGGTTTTGGATAGGTGTGGGATATTCTGTTTCTCGGTCGTAGAATTAAAACGCTACCTAATACAATAATACTGTTTTAAAAAGACGGACACTCCTAGTAGCTAAAATAAAATTACGTTGACTAGAAAACGTCGAGAAACTTAGGACTTCAAAGCCAGAGTTAAGTTCTATAGGAAGAATGGTTTGACGGTTTATACTTGACCTGGCCAAGCCTAAAAGCTCTGTAGCGCTACATATATAGATAGATAAAAATGAATTGAAGACATAATATCTTTCCTTTTCTTAGCAATACAAAATGCAGAATTATTTTTTCAAGGATTGGTGTCTATATTTCGTGGTATTTCATAAATGTTACTTAAGTATTTTGTGTATTATAAGTATATATATAAAGTTTTGAAAAGACTCTTTAGCCCAATGGTAGCAATGTTAGTCTAATAACCAAACGATTGTTGGTTCAATTACCACGCAGGTAAGCATATCTACTGAAACGTTTTATAAGTTGTATAAATAGAAAAAACCTCTTTCTTGTAAATCTAAGCGTTAAAATCATACAAAAAACGAAGTCTTAAGTAAATTATAAACTTAAGATTCAGTATAAGATAGGTACTCATGATCTCTACGTATGAGATTTTTCTCACATCTAAAGGTCTTTAAAGTAAAATGTTTAGTTACAAAATAACTCTTTTTGTTGTAAACGCATTCCAAAAAACAATATGCAATACAATAGTCTGCGGCTTGAATGGAAAACGTTTCGTTGGTGGTCGGTGCCTCGAAATTGCTTTTGTTGATTTGTACACCACTGTTTTGTATGTCAAAACCTCATGTTTCACATATACAAGATAAACCTTTCCTTAGCACATATTAAATAGTATATGTACCTATGACCAATATTATTTGCTGTAAATTTCTTGAAAAGTATTAAGTAAGTTAAAAAAAACCGATTCGAATTCTAATTATTACAATGCACTGTACACCTGTACACCTTTTTTTGTAATATTATATGTGCTATTATATATTAGTCCCGGGTTTGACTCTCGCTGTCATCCTTTTTTTCATACATAAATGCATATAGGACGTCAAAAATATTACAGCTTAATTACGTGACCCGTTTAAAACCACAGAGAATGGTAAACGTAAAAATATTTAATTAAGATAATGTAAGTTTGCGTGACGGAATTATGTCAGCTAAATGTTTGCATATGAGTTGTGCTCTTGATAAAAGTAGGTTAGCTGTTGTTACACTTTACATTACCTACCAAGATAAAAATAATACCAGGGGTGGTCAACCTACGGGTCGAACATCTGAATTGTTTGCGGCTAAATAAATACACCTAGTGAGAGAAGAGAGATAGTTTTTAGAAACAATATGAAAAATATATGAGAATATAATGTTATATTTTTAGATTGATATTATCATACTATAACTTGGCGACCCCTGCCATAAACATTCATACTCAAATAGCTGCATCTGCATATGTGTTTTCGACTTATTGTTACCTGAAACAAAATATAATCGAAATTAATAAGATAATTAATATAACATCGTGGTAAATCATGTAACATATTTCGTGTTTAATTCAAATACTTTAACGGTTTAAAACAGGATATATATTATTTAAACTTATTTGAAAATTATTTTAACTACGGGCCGACGTTTCGTTTCGTAAAAAAATTTAATTAAACTAGTTTAACTAATATATATCGTTTGAAAACTTTATTATTTTTTACATGTTATTGCACATGAAGGCACTATATACTTAATTAAAAATAATAATAATAATTTTTATAAATATAAAGTGTTTTAAACCGTCACGGTGTTGTATTTAAATGTGTACTAATCGCGTAAACACAATACGCTACAATTAAATTTGAGATAACATTTAATTAAGACTCCGATCTATCTAATTGAATCCAAGATATCTTAACCTCGCAAAGATAAGCTGAAGATGACCTTGACACAGAGTTTGCAAAGCGATAGTGGACTCCTTGCTGAGTTATCAGCTGATCTCCTCAACTTTGCACGCAAATGACTTGCTATGACGTCTTTTGCGTTTTCTTATTACTTCCTATATTATATAATTTTAAATATCCAGAGCCCAGATCTATATTAACAAAAATTTACGTTTTAATTTAATAGGTATTTATAATAACATGTATTCCTCTTAAAGGTCGGTGTCATATAATTAATGCACAATAATAAAATGTTATCAAATATTCTATTTTTAAAACTGTAATCCTGTTAATGTGTTAAAACTATTACTATTATACTAGATTAGTATCTACCTCGGTTATCTTACAGGGCTATACAATCACTAACTGATAAAAAACCGTTTGGCTCAACTTGTATTCGAATCTCAGGAAAACGACATTCCTATGCAAGACATTTTAATTAACTATTTAGAAGACTCAAGTCGATCGAAGCAGATGTGATTATGCAATTATTTTTAATAATTAATTGTCGGAATGATTTTTTTTTTTATTTATTAAATGTGTACGTTCCAGCACTAACTAATTCCTAGATAAATCAATCCAATGACGTATTTCTAATCTATATTTACAAATAATGTTATGACAACATAAAGATAGAAGTTATCTCACATATAGTGCACTATGCGGTATGCCTAAACTTTACATATTCGTTGTTTTAGGGTTCCGTAAGCAAATAGTAAAACCCTACCACTAAGACTTCGCTGTCTATTTGTTGTTGTTATTGTACTTTAAGAACCGGTGTATAGACGACTGCAGGATTTCACTGAAGATGTATTTATGTTGCCATTATAACAACAAGTTAAAAAAGATTAAAACAAATGTGGCTCTCAGACAACAGATATGATTTTTCATTAATAATACGATAGTATTACGTTTTAAACACGTTAGACAATGGCTGCTTAAAAGTACTAAACACGTCGGATCACTTTAAAAAAGTATTTATAAAGTGTAGCACTGATATGAACAAATAAGAATTGACTGTATTTTATGCTAGTAGCAGACATTTAAATAAACGTTACTAATATCCGAATATTCAAAGCCAAGTTAGGCCGACAGCGCATCTTGTTTTGATGCTATATGGCTGGCATTTCTACCTTTAAATGAGCCCCATACACTTGCATACAGCCGTCCTCCTTATTATAAAAAATGTTAACATGCAAGGAGGTTTGTTCATTTTTATAGATAACGGAACCCATATTGCGCAATTCCAGCGCACACTTGGCAGGTTTTTAAACACTCACGAAAGGTTCCAGACACGAAGAATCGCGGTAATGCATGTAGTTATTTAAAGTGCACACTTAATGATGTACTCTTTTGCTGTCTGGATTATTCTATAGAAGTTTTCTATTTTTTTTTGTTTACCTTAATATAATGCAATTAATAACTTCTTAAATATAAACATTTAAATGTGGACAGTGTGTAAAACGTTTTAACAGTTTAAAACGCGAAGTGTAATTGTTAACTTTTATATTTATTTTACTACGATCGTAAGTTTCTCGCCTTTATATTTATGGGTTAGAAGCTGTGACTTCGGTTCCCAGTTGTGTAATTTTGTATACATTCTGATAAATTTATATAAGTATGCGTTCTTTTCATGTGAGAATGTAAGTAAGGAAAACATCGTAAGTATCTACACCATTTTGCCCCCCACTAATTACGATTAGAAATTCATACAATTTGTTATTTTATAATGACAAAGAAGTAAAAATGACTTACAATCATATTAGTTGTATGTTAGAAGTTAAATCTACCACAAATTTAGTATCCAGATTTACCAGACAAAATGCGAG